TATTTTATTCACCAATAACCAAAACTTTCACCCAGAAGTTTTAGCGCGCATTACTGATTCTTGCCTGAAATACTGGCCTTGCAAAGATGATTGTTTAAAATTCTATCATTTCGTCTGTATTCTCTCATAAAGAAGTTCACTCTCTCTCACTCTCTCTCTCATTCTGTACCACTATGGACTCATAGATATTTGAGGGAGAGGATTAATGTATTATCATCATTATTCTTTCTGGTGGCCGAATTGTCCCAAATCTGGCAGTGGGACTTCCTGTAAGCTAGCTCCTGTGGGAGGTGTGTATGTGTATGTGTTTTACATGACCCCATTAGTTTTTTTATGGGTCTGTTTTTTTTTTAATAATTTATTTTTGGGTGACAGTTTTAGGTTCACAGCAAAATTGAGAGGAAGGTACAGAGAGTTTCCAAATACCCCCTACCAGCGCACATGCATAGCCTCAACCGTTATCAACATTCTCCCACCAGAGGGTACCTTTGCTACCAATGATGAACCTACATTGACACATCATAATCACCCAACGTCCACAGTTTACATTAGGGTCCATTCTTGGTGTTTTACATTCGGTGGATTTGAACAAATTTATAATAACATGTATTCATTATAATAGTATCATACAGAATAGTTTCACTGCCCTGAAAAATCCTCTGTGCTCTGCCTGTTCATCTCAGCACCCCTTCAGCAACCATTGATCTTTTTACTGTCTCCATAGTTTTGTCATTTTCAGAATGTCATATAATTGGAATCATACAGTATGTAGCCATTTCAGATCGGCTTCTTTCACTTAGAAATATGCAGTTAAGTTACCTCCACGTCTTTTCATGATGATAGCTCATTTCTTTTTAATAATAATAATATTCTGTTGTCTGGATGTACCACAATTTAATTATCTATTCACCTACTGAAGGAGACATCTTGGTTGCTTCCAAGTTTGGGCAATTATAAATCAAGCTGCAATAAACATCCATGTGAGGCTTCCCTGGTGGCGCAGTGGTTGAGAGTCCGCCTGCCGATGCAGGGGACGCGGGTTCGTGCCCCGGTCCGGGAAGATCCCACATGCCGTGGAGCGGCTGGGCGCGTGAGCCGTGGCCGCTGAGCCTGCGTGTCTGGAGCCTGTGCTCCGCAACGGGAGAGGCCACAATGGTGAGAGGCCCGCATACCGCAAAAAAAAAAAAAAAAAAATCCACGTGCAGGTTTTTGTGTGGACGAACTTTTCCACTCATTTGGGTAAATTCCAAGTAGTGTGATAGCTGGATCGTACGGTAAGAGTATGCTTAGTTTTGTAAGAAATTGCCAAACTGTCTTCTTACCATTTTGCATCCTCACCACAGTAAATGAGAGTTCTTATTGCTCTAGATTGTTGCCAGCATTTGGTGGTGTCAGTGCTCTGGATTTTCACCAATTCTGAATAGGTGGTATCTCATTTTAATCTTCATTTCCCTGATGACATATGATGTGGAACATCTTTTGTATGCTTATTTGCTATCTGTATATCTTCTTTGATGAGGTGCCTGTTAAGCTCTTTGGCACATTTTAAAAAATCAAGTTATTTTCTTATTGTTAAGGTTTAATAGTATTTTGTATATCTTGGATAATAGCCCTTTATTATATGTGTCTTTTGAAAGTGTTTTCTCCCATTCTGTGGCTTGTGTCTCATTCTCTTGACTCATTAGGTTTTGATCACTTTCTAGCTTTCTGGCATAAAAAATATGTTCTAGGCTCTCACCTTGATCTTTCCTTGTTCAATTTCTGAAACCAGCCACTTCTCCAAGGGGCTCCGATTCCTTGTAAAGGGTAAAGGAGTTCAGAAATCAAAATCTGGGGGCCAGGTGTCCCATAGCAAGAGGTAGATGCAGATTTGTGGAGCCTGAAGCTAATATAATTTTGGAATTGTCTTTTTTTTTTAAAGAAGAATACAAAATTACAAATATAAAATTAGGTATAAGGCCTTATAAGAAGTCCATAAGTGAGGAGCCATAAAGTTTGTTTTTTTGGTTCACTGGCATTGGGGTGTTACTGCTTTTAGCATCTTTCAGTGAACAGAATATTCAAATCTAGTACGACAATGTTCATTGTAGCTTTTGTCCTTTCATATTTGTATAAACCAGAGTGAAAATCATTGGTTCCAGAGGTTATCAATATATTTACTCATTGTTCTTTCTTAATATAAGAAGTATACACAAAAATGGTTTCACAATAACAACACTGATATTACTACCAAAATTAAATCTAGCAGTAAAGTTCAAGATTGTTTTGCAGTTCTTCTTAATATGTAATATACTTTATTAAGGATATATATAGCCAGAGTACTCTATTCAAAGCATATTTTTTTTTCTGTGTGGTTATATTATCACATTAATATACAGTTAAGTTTATTTGTTTCTGCCTAAATTAAATTTTAGTGTTTTTTTAATCCTCTTTAATTTTTTTGAAAATATAAAACATTTATGATTAGAAAATTAAAAAGATAAACTGAGAAATCTCACTTTCATCCCTATAGACCCCATCCCCAACCATGCTCTATAAGGATCCATTTCTGTTAACTTGTGGTTTAAACTCCATAATTTTTTTGGAGAAAATCTGCAAGTATGTATACAAATTCTTATTTCTCTTTTTTAAAATTATAAAAAATGTAGCATATTATATACACTCTTTTGCACCTTTGCTTTTTTTTTCCCTCTTTTTTCCCACCAAATCTGTCCCAGAACTCATCCCATCTCTGTTCATGGAGATCTTCATTCTTTTCAAATCTTGATAGTAGCCCATTGTGTGGATGCTCTACAGATTATTTAACCAGTTTCTATAAATTGTTATTTGATTGTTTCTAATAGTTAGGTTGCTCTTTTGGAAAATTGGATAGACTACACAATACATTCAAACCAGAGGAAATTGTGTACCCAAGCAGTAAAAGTAACAATTTGGGAAGGATTTGAAGCCACTAATTGGAACTTCTTTAAGAGTTTTGGTCCATTAATTCATGCATTCATTCATTCAAGAACTATTCTTGAGCATTAGGAACTGACATTTACTTAGAGCATTATTCACCTTGATGTGCTAATCATCTGAGTTACTGAAAATGGGTATACTAAGCTCCTTACTGAGAGGTTCCTTGGGTTTATAAAATATGAAACTTAATCTGAGACAAGGGCACCATGGGAAAATGGCTCATGGAATTCTGAGCTTTCGCGATCTGTTTCACTGCATTCATACAGTGCATACATGTATCCCCAACTATATCTATAGACTTAGTGGAGAATAAGGGTGCTTAGCTAAGTAACCCAGACTTAACTTTTCAAGATAACATTCTTAAATAAATTTAAGATACTTATATATGTCTTATGTATCTTACATGTATTTATATATTTTATATACACCCATCTATGTGTGTGTATATAAATATATATGCATATCGTCTTCTGTGGTGAAAATGAATATAGATCAGACATTACTCTTAAAAGTTTGGTTCCTATTATATTCTTGGCATAAATGAACCCAGTTGTGCCACAGAACGTGGAATGTGGAAGCCTAGGCCTTCTCCTAGGTGCAAGAGAAGCATAAAGTTTATTGTGTTTAATGCTATATGAAGTGCAGCATTTCTTCTGTTTCATTCTAACCTCAATAAGAGCTATATAAGCAGAAGGAGCTACAGGCTCACTATGGGGTATTTAGGTCAGGTCTAAAGAAGAATAGTTCAAATTGATCCTTATTTAGTTGTCCCTGAACAATGCAGTGGTTACCCAAAGAGGGACTCCCTGGGACTTGCAATTGCCACATTATGCAGCTGCGATGTGGATGGCAAGAGAAAATGAAAGATATTTTAACAGCCACTCTTAAGTCTTTTATGGAAGGCTCATGCCAATTAAGAAGCTCTTTGCATTAGTTTGTCTCTAAGTAACACTGCACAATTCAATTTGAAAGTTCACATAGACCTAACTCAAACCCTTACACGGCTGGAACAGTAATTATAATCCTGGCAGGTCACACAGTTTATTTTTCATTGAGAACCCAGAACACCCACACGAGGACAGAAATTCAAGGCTCTGCAGTCAGTTCCGTCGTCCGTCTAGGGCAGCAAGCCTACCAAGCATCCCTGCAGGGTCAAAAGGGCAACAGAATTTCAGGGCCGAGTATCAATAACCAGGCTTGGGTCCCTTACTCCCCAAGCCACAGGCCCTCAGAGGGTGAGCGTTAGGGGAAGGGGGCAGCAAGAATGGGCGGGTGGGGATCGGCTCCTCTTTAAGAGGGACCTCTAGGTTCCAAGTAGCTGCGTTGATCTGGGGCCGGTTACTTAGTTTTTAAGCCTCATTCCCTTGTTTCCTAACTATTGGGTACTTATAGTGTCTTCCTCAAAAGACTGTTGTGAGGATCTAAAGGGAAAATGCGGGTAAACGTCTTGGCTAAGACCCTGGCCTGTGGTAAGTCCTTAATAAAGAGCAGCAGAATTCTTTTTGTGGCTCTTATCATTGTCATTATTGCGCTGTATTGTCTTTGCAGTCACCGCCACCACGACCATCCCCGCCCTCCTCACTTCTCCAGCCGGTTCCTCACCTCCCAGCCGGGCGGCTCCCGGCCTGGGTGGCTCATTCATTCCCTGGAGGGCCCGCTGGGCAACACTTGCCTCTCTAGGATGACCGCTTCTCAGAAGGCAGGAAAGCCCCTCTGGAAGCCCTTCTCTCTTTCTTTCCCTCCTCCCTCTCCATCTCCCCGCCTTCCTATCAAGCACTATCTCTTTCCCGAGTTCAAACAGTGAGAGGACTCGCACCGCAGGACTCAGCCCGGCTCCGAGCGCCCCCCCACTCCCAGCCCCTTCGTCCTCCCTTCTCGGGCGCCTTCCCTGCCCGCCACTGCCCCCTGGCGGACGAGGCCGAGAGCGCCCTGGCCCCGGGGTTCAAGGGCTCTCCCGGCCCCCCGCGGCCCCCGCCCTAAGCTGGGCCCCCGCCAGCCCCACGCAAGCTCGCTCGCCCGGCCCGCTCCCTCCTTCTGCTCGCTGCCCCGCCACTTCTTCTTCTGCCTGCCACCCCGAGGGACCATGGCGAGGTTCAGCTGGGGATACGGCGAGCACAATGGTGAGCGCCTTCCGCGGATGGGAGGGGTGAGAGAGGGGGCTCTGCGCCGGGGACGGTCGAGGGGGACCGCCCGCTTCCCGGAGTCCGCCGACCGCACTCTGCCAATCCACACTTGGCGAGAAGCTTTTCGGTTTGTCTTTTGAATGAGCAGCGCTCCCCGGAGCCACACGCAGGGAGCGGAGGGAAGGCATAGTCCTGCGTGGACAGGGAAAGCGTCTCGGAGGCTGTTGATAGTGGGGGTGAGTTGACGTGCGTTAGCCCTGTCACGATACCCCAGACCCCGAAATCTTCAGATATGTCCCCTCGCTTTCATTTGAAAAGCCGAAAACTTTCTCTAGTAGTAACTACTTATCAATCAAAGGCACCGAGTTTAGAAATCTGAGGACATATTTCAATGAATCGAGGACAAGTTTGCTTTCAGTCTTCTAAGCTCATTATCTCTACGGGGAAACAAATCATGGAAAATATTTGAAAATATACTTAAGAAGCTTTAATGACTTGAATTGCAACATTGAAGATTTACGTTGCCTTCTTGTCAACCAATGTACCGCAACTTTCTTAATAGCTAGCTGTTAGCTATAAAATATTTCCACAGCAACTTGCAGTTGGTTGACTGGTACTGCTGGTTTTACCAAGATTTTAGGTTCTTTCTTAGAAATGAAGTTATATTTTAAGCTACGTCTGCAGTCTGCATGCTTTCTCCTTCTCCTTCTACACATCCTTTCAGAGACTGAGGAATTAGCAAAGGATCATTGACATTGTAACACGTTGGTAAAAATGTGTTTATTGATGGAACCAACAGGAATAATAAGATGTATACTTTTCTTCTTGTATATCCTGAATTATCAAAAGTAAACCATTTTTCTTGTTTTTGTATTAAACTGAACTGATGATTTTCAAATAACCATTACTTGAAATGTTTGCAAAGTGACACCACGAAAGCCTTACAGTGAATCACTGTCAAAATTAGGTCTGAGAATAATGATAGTAATAATAATAATACTTTCTTGGATTAACATGCATATTATTCAGCAGTACTGTATAGTTAATTTTATAGAAAGCTTACTTTCACAAAGAAACAGAAAAGTTTCATTTCTAATTGTAGTCTTTTTGAGGCTATGACTAACTTGCCAGTTAAAAAATGGCAGCAGGTGAAAGTTAGAGTTTTAATAATGAAAGGTATAATTTAGGTGGATTCCTCTTTGAGACTGCAATTATAATCTTACATTTTGCTAATTTTCAATTTATGTTTGGGGAAAAAACCTGCAAAACAAATTTCTTTTAATTTCCCTCTCTGCTGGAATAATTTCTGTTATTGTTATTTAATAGTCACTGGGTGTTAACAGTGCCCTCACTATGATTAGGAAGGAGAAGCGTATTTTCAATCAATGAGTGTTGATTACTCTTTAATATGTTCGAAAATATTGGCTCCAATTAAGTGCATCTGAAATTTTAAAAATCCATCTTAGAAATATGTGAAGGAGGTTAAGAGGTACAAACTTCCAGTTACAAAATAAATGAATCACGAGGATGAAATGTACAGTGTGGGGAATAAAGTTATGTAAACTTTTTACCTAAAGTAAAAAGTTATGTAATGTCTTTGTATTGTGACAGATGGTAAGTAGACTTATCATGGTGATCATTTTGAAGTGTATAAAAATATTGAATCACTGTGTTGTGCACTAGGTACTAACATAGGTAAATTATGCTTCAAAAACAAACAAACAAACCTAGAGAAGAAGAGATCAGGTTTATGATTACCAGAGTGGGTGGGAAGGGGGAATTGGATGAAAGTGGTCAAAAGGTACACACTTCCAGTTATAAAATAAATAAGTACTAGGGATTTAATGCACAACATGTTACATATAATAAACACGGCTGTATGTTATATATAAAAGTTGTCAAGAGAGTAAATCCTAAGAGTTCTCATCACAGGGAAAAATATTTTTTCTATTTCTTTGATTTTGTATCTATATGAGATGATTGATGTTAACTAAACTTATTGTGGTAATCATATCATGGGGTATGTAAGTCACATCATTATGCTGTACACCTTAAACTTACATAGTGCTGTATGTCAATTATATCTCAATAAAATTGGAGAAAACCGAAGAAAAAAATGAAAATTTGAAAACATAAAAAAAAATTCATCTTAGAAAAGCCATTAACAAGGAGTGATTTTGTATTTTGGCTAAGAATTGTAGGACCATTCCCTGCTTTTAGATTCAATAGCTTTCTGAGGACCACACCTTTAAGTAGATCAACTTTGGCAAAATCCTATTGGAAATGTGTTGTATCCTGACTGGGCAAGTTTTGTTGCTTGCCAGTTTAGACTGGCAAGAGCAGTGAATGAGCAGACAAAAGGAAACTTTAGCTGGGAATAGTAGCACTGATAAAATGGAACATCAAGAAGTGAGGCACTGGAAGTGGTTACCTTAACAAACAGCTTACAACTTCTTCCACAAACCTTTGACAGTTTTATTAGTTTAGTTTAGGAAATGTGACAATCACTGAAAACTGCCTATCTCTATGGATATTCAGAAAGTTCCTGAATCAATGGAAGAACTTCTGTATATCTCTATAACTATGTTTAAATGGGTTTAACGTTGCACGTAAAAGGCAAGGGAAAGGAACCTACCATCATGGTTAATAGATAATATTGACTAACGCAAAGTGCTATTATTTTTATCTTATTTTGGCTTGCCTCTGCTTTTAAAAATAGTTCTGGTTATAAAGGACTGGAAATAGGAGCATAAAGGAATTAAGAGGAGAAAGGTGCTCTTTCCTGATTGGAAAAAAGTTAATATGACATATGTGTTGCATACTTGAAATCCGATTCTCATTAGGTTAACTCATACTTGTGGGCAGTGAAATAGAACATTTTTTTCACATGAAAAAAGGACGAGATTGTATACAAAAAGAGTGTTAGAAAGGTAAATGAAAGTACTTAGTAAATAAGGAAATGCAATGCCTTTTCTGTAATAAGATGTAACGAAGGACTTTTGATGTTCAAGTTGCTTTCAAGTCCAAAGTGTATGATTCATAAGAGAACAATTTCTAAGTTATGTGTGTGGTTATGTATTCATGCTATGACTTTTTTGTACCTGAAGCATATGTAAAGGAAAGAATTTATGCTTTCTCTTTTGCAAAGAAGAAGAGTGATAAGGAGCGTTAGATTTAGAGATTGAAGCTGTTGATAATTATGATATATTTGCATTTCTTGAAATTTCATTCTAAATCTTATCTTTAAAAAATATTTGTTGTTGTTAGTAACAAATGCTTAATTCATTGTCATGCTGTGTCATCTTAGTTAGTACTTGACTTTTAGAGAAAGCAAGTTAGTTGGTTAGTGGAGTAGGGAAAAGCTTAGTCAGCAGCCATGCTCTACAGACCTGGTGGAGGTGGTGTAAATTACAGGCAGAGTAGAGGAGGAAATAAGAACCTCTAACCTATAAAGTCTATAGACTGGCTTGGAGCTTACTTGAAGCTGCAACCTGGCTGTTGATTTTGAGAGGCAGAACTTGAATGAGTCTCCCAGAGAAGTGAGAGTAGACAAGGGAATTGTCAGTTTATTGCTTCACCTCAATTTATCAAACATGTGTTCGATTTGGGAACTTGATGCGATTTTGACTTTGTGAATGAGGACCAGGATGCCAATTGTACCTTGTATTGGAATTCAAATGTAATATTGGCAAAACAACCCTGGAAGGACCTTCTGAAACACAGAAAGAGAGAAATAAATTGTTGCCTGACTCTACTGCAGAAAACCAACAATATTACATTTCCTGACATGGTACAGTCATTTTATATGTGAAAAATTTACATATTTCCTTAGTTTGCCTGTTGCACATTCACAGGAAATTGAGCTGAGAACTGGGTGACATGTGAAGATACAGTGAGTGATAGAAGTGGGGAGAGCATTTTAAAGAACTACACCCTTTTTTGCTACACAGCTTTCTCAGCTCTGTTAGTTCTTTCAGCCCATAAACCTGACCTGTGGAGCTCTCACAGCTCATTCTTGGAGCTGAGACTGAATCCCATTGTTTTCAATGATGAATTGTAGTGTTGCTTTTAGTTCAGTAGAAGGCATTTGTGAAGTACTTTTAACATGCTCTTTTGTGTACAAGGGTGAGTTTAATTCTGAAGATGAATTAAGGCAAACCAGGAAGTTTCCATACCTATAATAAAAGCAGTTGGTCTTGTAAAACAAAACAAAACAATTAGATGTTAAAGTGCTGAGGGTAAAGATTGTATTTTATTAATCTTTGTATTTTCTTCAATGTCAAGTACAGTGCATTGCACTCAACAAGCATTTGCTGAATGAAATAACTTATTCAGTCCTTTTCTTTTGGTCCTATATGTTAAAGGTCCTATTCATTGGAATGAATTTTTCCCTATTGCTGATGGAGATCAACAATCTCCAATTGAGATTAAAACCAAAGAAGTGAAATATGATTCTTCCCTCCGACCTCTTAGTATCAAGTACGACACAAGCTCAGCTAAAATCATCAGTAACAGTGGCCATTCCTTCAATGTTGACTTTGATGACACAGAGGACAAATCAGGTTGGCTTTTCTTTTTTTGCTTGGTTGGGGTGAGGAGCTTGGTTGATTGGATGGCACATTCTTATCTTTCATATTTGAACTACCTATGCACTGTGTGTTCCTTATTAGTACTTTGCTAGAACTTAGAGTAAAAGTTTTGTTTGATTAGTTCGTGGAATAATGTCTTTCACACGGTGAATAAATAATAGACCAACCAAAAAAAAACAACTAGTTTATTTGTTAATTTAAAAACTGAGTGAAGTAGAAAAGAGCATTTCCTTTTAAAATGAACATTTAATCCTTATTCAAGTATACCTCCTGCCCAAAGAGTAGATGATATCAAGTTTAAAAGTAAGATTAAAGAGAAGATCAGAGAGAATCATATTTTGGAACACTTTTTAAGGCTTCCGACAAATTATTTTTATCTTAAGTCTAATATTAGGATAATGCTGTACTTACTCTATTAATGAAAAATAAATTTTAAAAATCCTTAATTGGAAGAAAGTCTTCACTTATTCATTAAGCTCAGATTTAGTTTAGTAATAATATCTTGTGTTTATGGAGTGCTATATTGTTAGCAAAAATTATAAGCCCATTACATTTCTTCCTCATATTTGTTAAATTCATAAACGTGATTCGCTTTCATCAGAGCAATTTAAAAGATGCATAAGGAAAGATGAACACATGGTACTTTTCCAACTTTTGGGTGGGTGGAGAAGTAACCTCACTTTTTACATATATTAAATTGTCTTTCCTTCAGGCCCTCAGTTTTATGAATCTGTATTAATAGGTATGGTTGATGTGATAGTACATTATAAAAGTAGTCCGAGGTTTCTAAGTACAAAGTTTATACCACCCATAATGGTAGTTTGATACTGTTTATGATCTCTCAAACAAAAACTTGAGGCTATCCATTCCTACTTTTAGAATAAGAAATGATTAGATTGTACTTCATCTAAAACTTTCTCATAAAAAACCTTAGTCATAAAAAATTCTTACTTTAATTTGCTCAGTGATGATCCTGGTCTCTCTCTCTCTCTCTCCCTCTCTTTCCCTCTCTCTTCCTCTCATTTTCCCTCTACTTTGGGTTAATCAGTGGAATTAGTTTGTCTGTGTTTCCAGGTTTGACGCTGCGTCTGTGATGGGTAGTGTGTGCCCTCTCCCATAAGCAAAGGTCTCATTTCTATCTAGATCACAATGAAATTACCAGGGTTAATTGAAAATATCCATAAAGTACTTAGTATTCCTCTGAGACAGAAGCTACATATATATAGGTCATGATTCTCGTTCTTCTATCTCAAGATAAATGAAGAGAATGTTTCATGGTAATTTGGGGGATTAAATTAATTAAAACGTAGAAACCGCCATGGCTAAAATAAATTGTTGCTGGTTTTTCTTTTTCTTTGGTACAAACTATAAAAAACACAAAGATACTTCTGTAACAAGCCATTTTAACTTGAGTAAAACAGTCTCCATTTTATAAAGAAGCCATTCTTACCAAGGTTAACTCTCAATCCCACCAGTCAAGAGACCACAGGTGTGAAACCTTCCTCATGGTCCTGGCAGGGCTTCTTTGGCTGGGCAGCAGCACAACCAGTGGTTAACCTGTGGGGAGCCACTCCTCAAAATTTTAATAGTCCTTTAAAAAGCTACAGGTAGATGTGAAATTCACACAGGAAGAAATTCATTAGAGACAACTCTCCAATTGGCTGTAGCAGACAAGGGTGTTCTCCCCCTAGCTTCTGGTTTTTCGGAACACAGACAAGGTCCCCCCTCTCTGGGAATCACACCTGACTGGCCCCGTCACCCCTCCTGTGGCATCCCAGGCCTGTCCTCTTACAGAACTTCCCACATTGCATTGTGACTGCCAGTTGGTTCTTTCCACTCAGCTAAAGGCTCCCTGTGAGCAACAGCTGTGTCTTACTCATTTACCTAGCCTGGTGCCTGGCACACAGAGGGTACTCAATAAACGTATGTTTCAGTTAAAAGCATTTTTTTGGTATGATGTTTCTTGGAGGATATGGACAACACCATGGTATGGCATTAGGGTACAGATTGCATTAGTATATGTAGGTGAAGTCCCGGTAGAATTACAAACCACCAGAAATCAATTAATATTTACCATTTGACACCTAAATAGTTTGAACATTGGTGGATTATTCATTGTTTGAACATTTAATTTTTAAAGGCTGTGGTACTAATTTTTAAGTTTTAATAAATGAAATAGTTCCTGGCATATAGTAAATACTCAATAACTACTAATAACTAGTGATAAAAATAATAATAAATAATAATGGTCTGTGTCCCTTCTGTGGATAAGATATGTTGTGCTGAAATTTTAAAAATATGTTAAAAGGAAGGAAGCAGCTTTCTTGCTAAGAAAGGCCTACTAGGAATGCTAGTAACTTGATGGATTCAGTGACTGTTCTTTAATTCTCATCTCTAAAAATTGTCAATTTCTCAGTTATAATCCTGTTATCTAGTTCTAGGTAACTGCCTGAAGTTAACCAAATGTACAAGATCTTAAATTATATATTAAAAAAGAAAAAAAACAGAAAAAGATGGGGGGTAAGCATACCTTAGTTGTGTGATCCACGCCCCCCCCCGCCCCGAGCCAAGATATACAGGAAACTAAATTGTCAATCTGTGACAATGATGTATTATAAAACTTTATTATAATTATGTTTCCTTCTATAAGTTTCTTGAGGATAGGGATGGCCTTGCTCATTGTGTACTTAGTATTGAACACAGTTGCTGACCCGTTGTAAGCTCTTAAGAATTGTTGAATGAATGAGTGATCAGAGAGTAACTTGGTGTGCGCATGCTCAGAGCAAAGGAAGCCAGAAGCCAGACTAATGAAGACTGTCCTGGCTCTGAAAAGAATTCAAGCCCCAGTAGCTAGGACCATTCCTATCTTCGTTCTCTCTTTCTCTCTCTCTCTCACTATAATCCTGGCAGATCTGTGCTCTTTGTTCTTTTCCTAGATTCCAAGCAAAATATAGATGTGCTGTTCATTTAGTTTTACTTCAGAGAACTCTTTACCATACAGTGATCAGTCCATGACTTTTATTAGATTCACAAGTCCTAAGACTATGCGCTTTAGTGATGCTCAGGTCACTTCAGTAGCATCCTTACAAACTGAAGTTTGTGGGGGAGTGTTTCTACAGGTGAGGTCTCTTTCTTACTTTATGTTAGTAACATTTATTGCTCCGGGAACTGTCCTAGGCATTGGGTATACAAGAGAATGAGATCAATTCTGCCTTAAAGGAGTGTGTATCCTAGTGAGATAGACAGTAAATGCATGAACAGACAAGTGTTTTGCTTTCTAAATGAATTTTTTTCTGATTTTGTTTTGCCAGCCTTGCTTATCATTTTAGGCAGCTGACTACAGTGTAGTTTCAGAAAGTGAGTAGAGTAAGCAAATTACTAACAATTAAAAAAAAGTTAAGTTCAATAGAGTAATGCATATGTTCCTAGTTGGTCTTTGCAGCATATAGCAAATGACAGATCTCCTTTTACTAAGTTATTAAAATTTTCTCAGACTTTAAAATTAACTCTGGTTTCTTGATCTCTGTAGATCTCTTATATGAAAGTTTTATTTGGAATAGACTTTTTTTAAAATCTTAGTGGAGGGATACGTGAAGTGTTTTATATATATATATATATGCTAAGTGTGATTTTGGAGAAATAATTACTAGTTTTCAAACATAAGATGGAAACAATATATATTTATTCATCTAGGTTGGAAAGTAAGATGAAGAATTTGACTCTTTAAAACACTAAATCATCCTCATTAAAAAACAATTTTTGTCATCATTATTCATTTTATATCATAGTTTAGCTGTTTAGTTGTTTTATTATAGACCATCTCAACGTTGGCGTTTAACCTTGGTATTTTGACTCATTTTTTCCCACTCTGTGTTTCTTTGGTAGAGCACTGCTCCAGGAGAATGGTCTTCATGATTAGACATTTGATCATAGTCCCAGGTTGGATATTTTAGTTAAAACACTCCAAGTCCAGATATGTAAAAAGTAAGGCAATCTCTGTTGCTTAACTAAGCAGAGCTGTGCTAATCTGGCTTTAAACCCTGGATTCAGAGCAGGCTTCCCAGAGATCAACCAGTACTCTTGGATGTTTCCCTAATAATGTGTGTGTCTTTTGGTATCACTTTCTTTCTCCTGAGCCAGCTTGTTTGCATCTTCTCCCAAAGTCAATTCCACATTGATCACTCAAGCTCTCTAAGCTGCTTTTTATCTGTGAAGGAATGACTTCTCGGTTCAGCTCAGGTCTTATTACGCAATAACGAGGGAAAAAGAGACACTAGAGCTGTTGATTTCTTTTTGTTTGGAATGCCACTGCATCCATGCTATATGGAGTCAGGGAAATGAGCCTTTTAAATTAATTTATCTGTGAATCATCTTTGAAACTGTTTGTTTAAATACAAATCAAATATTTTATTCATTCCTTCATCAAATATTTATTGTGCATCTCCTCTGTGATGGTTACTATGCTAGGTGATGGGATGGGTACAACAGAGACCCGAGCAGATGGTCTCTGCCCTCGTGAACACTGTTCCATGGGAGAAGAAACAGTACAATTTTCTGTTTGTGACAGAGTAACAGAAGAGCAAGCCCTAGAGTCTGGTGTAAGTGGTTCTCCCATCTCTTTTATTTTTCAGAGAGCTCTGAACATAGCTATCTTTATTTATTGTAAAGAAATCTGGATGCAAATGAATCTAAAGGAAGCCCCAACCATTCAGCCTTACAAAAGATTTTATTATATACGCTCCCATTTTATTTTCCTTAGGCAGTTTCAGGAATTGTAGAAGTTAAAGAACATCCAGTCCAATCTCCTAATTAAACAAACAATCACAAATATAGACAAGAAAGCTGAAGCCCATAGAGGCTTAAATGAGTTTTGAAAGGTGGCATAGTTTAGTAGCCAAGCTGGGACTATTCCCACATCTGCTGATTCCAACTACTATACCAACTCTTAATTACTGAGGTTCAACTTCAGCCGAGTCAAACCAAGTAAGGGAGAAATGAATTCAGTTGTACTGGTTAATACAGATGGCAGTCTGGATCATTCTTTCTCCTACAGTATAGCTCAAAGAGGAGTGTGCCTTAGTCAAATGTATTATCTTGTCTTTTGTTGTTGTTGTTTGTAGAAAACTGCATGCGATACCTCTTAACATCTTTTGCTTCTTATATAAGGTGCATCATTCTTGACAAATTTTGAGATATATATATATATATATATATATATATATATATATATATCTTCTGAAGAGGAGGGTAATTTAAATCAAACTATTGTTAAAGGCTGCACCATACCAATAAAACACTTAATCCTGTTGGAATGTCAATGAGAGATTAGCAGTGCTTTTGATGTTATCAGCATGCGATGCTTCCACATCTTCACATATCCTTTAAAACATGCTCAATAAAGATTAATTGGGAGGAGACAGTTTAGGACTATGTTTTCTACTAAAAATCTTTTCTGTATACTTAATATATGATTCTATTGCCACGGTTTTAGAGATCATATGTGTTGAGGCAAAGTACTAAAATATACTCTGCCAAAGTGACAAAGATATGATGGATTATTTTACAAGTGTTAATTTTGTCCTGTATTTCATGTTTCCCCAAGAAGATAGAATTCAAGTATAAAAGACATGCTTACTTTGCCAGTTTTTGTAGTAATCATAACAGCAATAAAATAGTAATAATAGCTAACGTGTCCAGCATGCTGACTTTCTGCCAGGCAGTGATAAGTGCTTTGTGTTCAATTTTTCTTCTGTTTTTACAACAGCATCAGGAGGAGGTAACATTACTCTCTGGAGGTTATAGACAGGAGAGCTGAGGTTTCAAAGTTAAAGGATTTGTGCAAGATGACACAGTTAGTAAATAAGACGTGAGCCCCAGGACTCCTAACGCTGAAGCCTGTTCTCTGACCGTATTGCTAGGCTGCTCTACCGTGTTCAAGATGGAGCTCTTAGCACATCACATTTTTATTTAGAGAGGCTGACATTCTCCATTGAACAGAGCAATTCTTTACCTCTACAAACTCCCAGTTTCTGCTACTTTTAACCAGTGTGTCTGTTTTGATTTACAAGATATTCCATAAAAACCTGTATTGTGGACTCTTTAACCTTTTAAAATGTTTGTTTTTACTCCTCATATATTTAAAAGTTGTATTCCAGTCAGCCATCTGAATGACATTTATAAAAAATTCCTTGAAGGACATGGAGATGTTGAGTGATCCAGGGAGATGCTGTGGGTTGTGACAGGATGTGTAATTTTTTTTTTCTTGCTGACAATTTAAAATGTATTGATGTTTAGTTCTGCGTGGGGGTCCTCTCACTGGAAGCTACAGGTTACGACAGTTTCACCTTCACTGGGGGTCCACTGATGATCACGGCTCTGAACACGTGGTGGACGGCATGAGATATGCCGCAGAGGTGAGCCATCAGACTTGTATTCATCATTCAGAGTTTTTCTATGTGATGGGATTTTGGGGACACAGAAGACAACTCTCCTTATGCCAGATTAGGTATCTCAGTGGCTGAAATCGCTTTATTCTGTCAGCATGAGAGTTTATCAACATGAGAGCCACACGTTTGGCCCTTTTGAGTCTTAGAGATTAAGGTTTTTGTGCCATTTTAGAAATGAATAAACTGGAGACTTAGAGAGACTAAGTAGCTTATCCAGCTAGGAAGCAGTTGAGATGGCTTGAAACCCAGGTCTGTCCAATACCAATTACAAACTCTGTTGTATTTCCTGAAAAGCCAGTGAGAAGGGAGAGAAAGAAACATTTGGTTTAGGCCCAACTGTGTACACATTTGGTCCAGACACAAATATATACTAAGATCACGTAAAGTCCATATAATAGAGTTAATAGTAAGTGGCCAAGTTCCTCGTAGGGAAAAAAAGTAAAGTCACAAACTCTCCTAAGCTCTACATTACCTCTACAACCCCAGGTATTAAAATGGAGTCTCTGTTAATTATTCAGGTCGTTGGTAAAGCAGAATAGGATGAAGTGTTCATTGACTTGTTTTTTTTCCATTGGGGAGTGAACTTCTTTTCCTTATAATCATATTCATTAATAATATTCTACTTTTTCTAATCCTCTGGTTAAAGGACAAAGCATAATATACTTCAAGCTTTAAAACAGTTAAATATTGGGCTTCCCTGGAGGCGCAGTGGTTGAGAGTCCGCCTGCCAATGCAGGGGATATGGTGTGGAGCGGCTGGGCCCGTGAGCCATGGCCGCTGAGCCTGTGCGTCCGGAGCCTGTGCTCCGCAATGGGAGAGGCCACAACAGTGACAGGCCCGCGTACCGCCAAAACAAAACAAAACAAAACAAAAACAGTTAAATATTGCTAACACCCAGCTTTACCATGAGATGAAAGTGAATTATTGTGTGATTCAACCAAAGCTACTTATGTGAAAATATATAATGTGGCTTGTGAGTCGCCTAGGCAAGACAGAGCAAATGTTACCAGGCAAGTACAGTTTTTCTTCATTTTTCTTGTGATTACTGACCTGTGAAGTTGAGACACTCTTTTATAGCCCTGCTGTTCAGAGAGATTCAGCAAACAGACTTCTTTCCAGTTTTATTTTTCTGTTGACTTATACATCTGCTCTCTGAGACTATCAACCAAAACGTCCTTTTTGCCTACTAAAACACTTTTGCTTGAGGCCAAGTGCTTAGGGTATGGGACCTGCACTTTCCTTGGGAGGAATAAAATCTACATCCAAAGTGGACAAAAGATGCCAAGAATGTACAAAGCAGAACTCCTGAATCTGTACAGTGTCTCAGTTTATATCACCTACTGAATAGTTTTCATGTTAGCTTTCTAAAGTTTTGTGTTCTAAATTTGACATGTTCTAACTTTCAAAAGCTTTGTGCAGATTAAGAGCTGGCTTTGGATCACTGAACTGTAATTTTCCTAAGCCGCTTAGGAAAATTGGTCACGTTGCTTTATGTTTACACCTTCTAACTTCATAAACTTCAAAGTATACTCTCAGAGAGGTTGACTCTGAGTTGGCAAGTGGTTTCCTGGAAAGGGCCCTCATATATCCTGAAATTAGTCAGAGGCTCAGAGTCCTTACTTGCAGAGCAAGGGCCATCTTTGTAGGTTTTCCTTCTTGAAGAAGATGAAGCTTTGACTGGAATTTCACACTGTTCTTTAATGTATGTTTAAGGCTATTTATTTCATTTGTTCATGCATGCATGCATTCATTCATTCTTTTAAGAGTTCATTGAGATCCTAGCATGTCCCCCATCTTGGCCCATCTTACTCGTGCTCATCCTGAAGGGAGTGCTGGGAAGGAGGAGGGATGGGTCAGGAAACACTTCCTCATGGAAAAGCCTTTACCCAAACCTGAAGCAGGAGCAGGAGTGAGCCAGGCAAAGGGGAGAGCGCCTGCATAGACTCATGTGTGAGTACTGGGGCTGGGGAACAGTATAACATATTCTCACATATTTGAAGAACAGAATGGCCAGTGTGATTAGAGCACGAAGTAAAAAGGGGAGAGTTGTCAGGGGTAAAGTTGGGAGGCTAGAGGCATCTCATCTTACTAAGGTAAGTCACGTGAGTATTGCAAACTTTATTCTTAGTGCAACAAGAAGCCACTGATTGGCTTTGAATCAGGAAGTGATCATATACATGTTTTAAAAATATCATTCAAACTATAGTTTGAGAATAAATTGGGTTGAAGCAGGAGTGGATAAAGGGAACCAGTCAGGAGGCTTTCGGGAATGTTCCAGGTAATAGGACATAGTGCAGCTGGAGGGCTGGCTGGCTGGAAGTGCCACTTCAGTGGGGTGATTGGTGATTACTTGGGGTTGAGGGTGAGGGAGGGAAGGAGTCAGTGTTTCTGGCTTGAGATAGGAATGTAACTGGAAGAAGAGGAAGTCTGGGTCAGACCTCAGGGTTGGTGGGTGTTCAAGGTTGACAATAAACAAATAAATAAATTGGATGTGGTAAGTTCTTTGATAGGAACAATACCACATGATCTGGTAGAGTAACTGGGTGCTTAAGAAAGGCCTCTTTGAGATGATCAGTGAATTGAGACTGAATGACCAGAAGAAGCCACTCTGAGGAAATCTAGGGAGATCTTTCTGGTAAGTGGGAACAGCGGGTCCAGGTGCTCTCAGGAAGAAATGAGGTTGGCATGTTCTAGAAGACAAAGACATTGGCTTCCAGGATTGGAGTTAATGAGAGAGGAGGAATTATTAGCCATGTTCCAGAGAGGCCTGCAGGGGCCACACCAAGTTGGGCTTTGGGGGGCTTGGTGAGCAGTTTGGAGTTTATCTTCATGTAGCAGGACAAAGACAATGGAGGGTTTTGAGCAGGACAATGGCATGTTCTGCTTTATATTTTATAAAGTATAGCTAGCTGCTCCGTGGCTAAGAGTTTGGGCAAACATTGAAGAAGCAGGGAGACAAACTAGAAGGCTATGAACGTGTTCACATGAGCGATGATGGTGATTTGTACTATGGGGTGGTGGAGATGAAGAGAGCTAGACGAATCCATATGTTTGGGGGGTAAAATCCATGGGATTTGCCAAGGAGAAGGATGTCAAGATTGAAGGAAGGAAAAAGAGGAATCTAGAAGCACTCTTAAGATTTTGGCTTGAGCAACCATGAGAATGGCTGTGCTATTTGCTGAGATGGGAAAGTCCAGGGAGGAGCAGGCTGCAGACAGGAATGAACTGTCTGTTTGGACATGTTAAGTTGGAGAGACAACTATAGATATTCTAGTCTCGTGTTCAAATAGGCTACTGGATACAAACCTGGAGTTTAAAGGAGAGGTCAGGGTGGGAGATGGAGGTATTTGGGAGTCATTTGCATTGGGTTTCAGGTTCAAAAGGATCCCTTTGTGCTTGGCTATCATAAGTGATTCCTAGGGGTTGTTTAGTTTTTCCAGCTACTTTTGTACCTAACTTCAGGACTATCATGAAGTTGTGTCCTCTTAAAAAATAAAAATATGGGGCTTCCCTGGTGGCGCAGTGGTTGAGAGTCCGCCTGCCGATGCGGGGAACACGGGTTCATGCCCCCTGGGACGATCCCACATGCCGCGGAGCAGCTGGGCCCATGAACCATGGCCGCTGAGCCTGCGCGTCCGGAGCCTGTGCTCCGCAACATGAGAGGCCACAACAGTGAGAGGCCCGCGTACCACAAAACAACAACAACAACAAAAAAAAACCAAAAAAACACCCACCCACATTTAAAGCTGTAACCTATAAAAATTTAATTTGGAGCCTAATCTAATGATTACAGATATTAAAGTAATCTAATTCATGAAAGACTTTATCCCGAGAATCACCTATCTACAAAAAGTAGGCTAATAGTTCACTGCATATTTGGAACTTTATCTGATTACAATTTATGCCAAATACATAATGAGTGTATTAAATATGTAGTTGATAGTAAAATTACAATTTCAACATTAATGAGCACATTTTATGAAGCAATAGTATGCAATTTAAAAATACTAAAGTTGAAAAATACTATTCTTTAGAAATTGCTTTCCAGTAGGGAAGAATCTTATTTCCCTTTTTTTTTTTTTTTTTTTTTGCGGTACGCGGACCTCTCACAGCCGTGGCCTCTCCTGTTGCGGAGTAGAGGCTCCGGACGCGCAGGCTCAGTCAGTGGCCATGGCTCACGGGCCCAGCCGCTCCGTGGCATGTGGGATCTTCCCGGACCGGGGCACAAACCCGTGTCCCCTGCATCGGCAGGCGGATTCCCAACCACTGCGCCACCAGGGAAGCCGTTATTTCCATTTTTACAGTGGCTACTATAACTTCTTGTCATTCAGTTCAAATCACTGTGGCTGTCACTGTTAGAAAATGTGAGTTTGTTGTTTGTTTGAGTTTTAGTTCAAATACAAATGCTAATAAAGCTGATATCAGTGGCTCTGAAGATACTGCTGCCAGTTAAGCAAAGTGTGTGGCAGAGAGAAGGACTTGTTTTTTTTAAAAAAACAAAACATTTTTCTTGCTTTAGTCTCCTATAATATTTCAAACAATTGTTTTTAACCAGTGGAAGGATATACAGATAGATTCATGTCTCTTTAGTTACACATTCATTTTCTAATCCGTTGGAGTTGTGAACATAAAGAGGGCATTTCACATCTTTCTATCTCTTTGGTGTCATCTCTTACAAAGTGAATTATGTTGGCAACGGAGCCACTTAAAACAACTTCAGCATACTTTCCTACCTCTTCCTTACAGTGGAACATCCTCTGTCTCATGTGAACCACATGAATTTTGTTTCGTCATCCAATGTTTTCAGGCTTTGTGCCTCTCCCAGCTATCTGACATCAACATAGAACATGGCACCAGAAGAATCCGCTTCTGTATTTTCCATCTAGATATGCCACAGTCTTCCTTGATTGTTCGTGAATGGTGCACTACTTTATAGTTTTATAGTTCCCAGTTTATGGTAACTCTTATTTATCTAGAAAGCCTCCCATATTAGTTGCCTGTGAGATGTGAAGTTATATTTAAAGGAAGGGGTAAAAATATTCATTTGAATATACTAAATTCTCTCTGTAACAGCCAGAAAGGTGATTTGTGCATGAAACCCTTCATAAGTAAGTGTTTCCTCCCCAAGGTGCCAAAAGGACTCATTTGAAAGAGATCTTATCTGAAGTCCATCCTTCATGGAGGGTCCTTGGACAACATGGCCGAGTCATGATCTTGGCCAAGTCATTTGGATGCCTGCATTGCCCTCTGGATTCTATCTCAGTTTGTCCTTCCCTTAACCAGGAATGAAGACCCTCTAAGAGTGGTCTTCTGCCTTACTGTCATTCTACAACCCTTCACGCTTGTTTGTGAGTTTGGGATACTGCATTGTTTACTATTGTAGGACATTTAGGACACCTTTGGAAGTTGTGAAGTGGGTGAAGCCTGTTTTCTAGAGTTCCAGGTTCTCCAACTCCTTGTCTCTTCCTTCTTTTTTCCCCTCTCATCAGTAGCACCAGCTGCCTCTCATTTTCTTCCTCAGATGTCTCTGTTTACAAGACCCTGAAGCCTCTTTTTCCCTCTTAAAACTTGCTCTCAACAGAGGATCTGAACATATTCTTAGAAGTTAGAAAATGTGTAAATACCGCTAAAAATAATTACCCCTAAGGAGAATTTGCATTTTCAAGCCATAAAAAGTCTTAAACTGCAGCGATGAACATTTGACTGGCAGTTTCAGGAACAACTGGCGCTGTTCTCAGCAGCAGGATTGTCCCCAAATACCTGCTGTGTGGAGGTTGACTTCTCCACTTGCCTGTGACCCTGCACTCGTGCGTTGGACTCAGCCGCCAGCTGGGGTCTAATTGAAGGTTGCACAGTTGCAGTCCCATCTGTGGACATGGGGGAGCCCTGAGTCACTTGGGAGCAATGGTTGGAGATTGTTAGGGCTAGAGAGGCTTGACAGGATGCTGCAGAGCCTTCTAGTGATGTGGACTTCAGCACAGTCCGCCACAGACCAAAGTGACATGGTCCTTCACCTGTGTACTTTAGTTTTTAGACAAAAGTAAAGAGGAAGATTCGGACATTATACATATAAGTGCACAACACCAGAAGATCTATATAAATGTTTTATTTGTATTTATGTTTTTAAGGGTGTTTAAAAAAACATTTGAATTATGTTGTGTTCCTCCCTTTCAGCTCCACGTTGTTCACTGGAATTCAGACAAATACCCCAGCTTTGTTGAGGCAGCTCATGAGCCAGATGGACTAGCTGTCTTGGGCGTATTTCTACAGGTGAGAATCACTAATTTCATTTTGAATAACTAGTCAGCCATGTTGGATAAAGAGTTTCAATCATGGGGTAGACGGTCTACCATTTTTTAATAGTAAACTAGTTCTAGGTTTAATGTTTTCCCTTTGAAGTGAATTTTAAAGTTTTGTATATTATTTTATGGTTCATCTAAGGGCCCAGAACTACCCTAGGAACATTGTCTTATGAAACGTCTCATTGTCCATTGATCATTTTTTTGTGAATAGCAAACGCAGATGCAGCAACAATAGTAGCAGAAGTAACAACTGAGATCTTGAGAAGAAAGTCTTTATAATAGGCTCTTCCTGACTGCTCAATATTTGGAGATACAGGATAGGGTAAAATTCAAGTTCCTGATTCTTTTTTTGTTTTGGCGGTACGAAGGCCTCTCACTGTTGTGGCCTCTCCCGTTGCGGAGCACAGGCTCCGGACGCGCAGGCTCAGCGGCCATGGCTCACGGGCCCAGCCGCTCCGCGGCATGTGGGATCTTCCCGGACTGGGGCACAAACCCGTGTCCCCTGCATCGGCAGGCGGACTCTCAACCACTGCGCCACCAGGGAAGCCCAAGTTCTTGATTCTTGAAGCACTAGTTTGACCACAATAGTATTTTGTCCCAAACACACTGACCATTTAAAAAGATTCTGTTGTATTTTCCTTTGTCTGATATCCACAGCAGGTATCACTGTCATAATACCTGTGGGTGGGCTGTGCTGCTCAACTCCCACTGCGACCACATTCCTTAGGGTGTGCACTTTCGATATGCCCCTGACTCTGCGTGATGTTGATGTTGTAAGTCGTTGCACTGGGACAGGGGGAAGCGTGGGGCAGAGCAGAGACTGGCATGCATAACAGCAGCTCCTTTTTTTGGTCCCCAAGTCTGGTGGTGGCAGTGAGATCCAAGTGGGGCAAGGCATTATACTTGAATCCCAAGGACTTAAAACCCTCAGAGAGATTCAGGACACCCCAAATAAATGAAAAGAAGTACATATATTTTTCTGAAGGATTCTCCTCATAGTGATATATTCCCTTGATTCAGGACCTCAAGTCATTTTAAGCTGAAAGTGGGAGATGTTTTCCTCTAATGTTTTGATTGCCACCAATAGTTGGTTTGGATCTAGGGTCTGAAAGTCACATCTGGTTTAATAGTGCAGGTGTTATGTAACAGTTTCCTAAGCAAAGTTTCTCTCGAGAGAATCTGTACCCTGAACATTCATAAAGCTGACAAATAAGAAGCTGTTACTGCTAGTTTTGGAATCGAAGTTATAGTTCAGCCAAGGAGCCCTGTAATATTATCTTGTTGTTTCGATTTTTCTGGCGTGATAAGGCTGGCAGGTGAAAGAGAGCCTCACTATAGAACAATCACTGTTTGCTTGTTCTGGGCTGGCTTAGGTTTTTTTTTTTTTTTTTTTAAAAGAATTTAAAAATAGTGACTGAAATGGAGTGATGCAGACCTGATGTGCTACAGTAACCATTTCTTCTGAAATGTTGTGTTTTCAGATTGGTGAGCATAATCCCCAACTTCAAAAGATTACCAATATTTTGGATTCCATTAAAGAAAAGGTAAAATTAATTGCTATTTACTAGTGACTAATATATTCCTTGGTTTCTCCTGAATTCTCTTATCTTCCTTTAAAAATTTAGACTTTGACATAGCATATGCTGCCGGCTTGGAAGCAGGTTTGGAACATACTTGACCAATAGAACAGAAGTAGTTTATTACCACTTATCTCTTGAAAATTATGAAGGGGTCTTAAGTTATCTAAAACAATCACTAATGCATCTATTTTTGCATAATTAGTTTCTTTTGTTGGAGTTTTGCAGAGTAAGCCTTTAGTGGCAACACATTTTAAAGACCACTTACATTTAAAAATCAATCTTGAGCTTCTTAAATAAATCTAGGTGATGCGCTACTTCATCTTAAATTTTTAGATTAAGGCAGATTCTTTTTTTTTTAAGATATGAAAAGCAGATACTAAATAATTCCATGAATTACAGAATTCCAGTGAAATAATATTTCAATGGATGTATGTTTTTTTGAGGTCTGTGTAAAGCTTTCCCATTGTAATTTGTGGGAATTCTCTTTTCTTCCTCAGGGTAAACAAACTCGATTCACAAATTTTGACCCATTATCTCTGCTTCCTCCACGCTGGGATTATTGGACATATCCTGGTTCGCTTACAGTCCCACCTCTTCTAGAGAGCGTCACATGGATCATTTTAAAACAACCTATAAACATCAGCTCTCAACAGGTATATCGTTTTTTCCACATTGATCCTGATTCACTAGGGGAAACTGGGCTTAATCTTGTGTGTGTGTGTGTGTGTGTGTGTGTGTTTTTCAAACCCTGCCCTCATTTCTGCTGTTGTGAAGCCTGAAATTAAGGCTTTACCTTTCTCTTCATTAGTCAGATGGGTGGTTGGACCAGATGAGATTTATGTCCCTTTCTTATTTGACCTTCTATGATTAGATGATTTCTTTCCCATTTCCTAGAAATGCAATGTGCAAACAGGCACGGGTGGAAGTGAAGTGCCACTTTAAGGGCTATACTTGTTTGTTTTTATTTTCTTTTGTGTGGTCTGAGATATTAACAGTCTGGGATACAAATGGGAAAATCAGGAGAGAAGCTTATCTCAAAAGGTGATAGTCTCCTTTTTGACCTCAGTCCCTGGACCTGCCTCCCCTACAGATCTCACATTTAGAAAGGGAATGGTGAGAACAGCCTTGGGCATAGCACCCTAAGAAATGTGCGTACTTGTTAAATTTAAGAAGTCCATCTGATCTTTTGGCTTTTATTGACAAAACTGTTGTGAAGCTGCCTGAGGGGCTTTAAGCATTTGCTAAGAGGCTGTGGGTGGCTGCCTGTACTCTTCTTGTGAGGACGTTTCCTCACTGGTTCTTCTGATAAATGCTTATAGAGCCCCCATAGTCAGTCGGTCAGTCAGTCTCAGAATGTCTTTGATGCCCAGAGACTCTGGCCAGAGCTGTGAACCCACCCTGTGACTGACAAATCCGCCGGGTTGATGCTCTGTGCTCTGGGATGCTGTACCTAACGGGTTTTGTTTTGTTTTCCGTTTCAAATTATATGCTGCGAAATCTTAGTAAGAACATAGCCTAGTAATTTTTGCATCTAATAAAGTACTCCTGTCCTGGGCTGGCCCACCTCCCTAGTGGTTTATATCTTTCGTCCAATCAAAGACTAGAGCTGTTTCACCTTTACGAAGGTCATATCAGGTAACTTTTCCCCTTGGGGTGTTGAACACATCCAACTTCTGTCGACCTTGTCTTTAGAATGAAAGCCAAATAATAATCTGGGGCATACGTATTAAAACATTTTATAAAAGTTTGGGTAGAAATCCGGAGCTTGACTGACACGGAAATTCCTGTGAATTTTTTCCATCATAAATAAGGTGAGTTGCATCATGAGAAAAATGACCTGTCACAGATTCAGTGGCTTTATTAATGGAGTTCATTTTCCTCCCCTTCATGTGCTAAACTGTTTACTTTTACATTCTTTTATTAAATTTGAATAGGTTAATAGTAAGAGTTAATACATTATAACATCAAGTTAGTAATATTAAGGGAATAATGTTTTCCCTCATATTTCAAGAATTTCTTTATTCCTTAAAGCCAGTTGGAAAATAATTTTTTTCAATCCACCTGTGATTTGGAAAACAATATATATCAAAATATATATTTAGTTACTTAAAATATATAAAGTTAACCGAATCAAAAATAACTCCCTGCAAGTTTAGGAATGACTGACTGCCTAGCTGTGAATTCACTACTGTATCTTATTTGAAGCTCAATTCATTAATGTTAATTATTAATGTGGTTTTTATGCAGTTAGAGTTTATAAAATAATAGCTGTATTTTAGAGCTTTAGTGTGAGTGGTAATTCACTTTGAGGCATTCACTTAAATCTACTGCAGCAGGAACACTTTCAGACATTTTATTTTTAACCAGATTGAAATGATTATCTGAGTAATAATCCCAATTATTATGATGATTATAATATCTTAATAATCCAAATTATCATGATGATTATAATATCGTAATAATCCAAATTATTGTGGTGATTTTAAGATTTAAAGAATGAAGCAAAAGATATTTTAAGAGTCAAATCCCATTTGAACCATGAGAAGAACATCAGAAAATGCCCAGTTGAGAGACATTCTCAATATACCTGATCAGTAGTCCTCAAAACTGTCAAGGTCATCAAAAACAAGGTAAGTCTGAGAAATTGTCATAATCACGAAATGCTCAAGGAGAAAAGACAACTAAATATGATGCCATTTCCTGATAGGATCCTGGAACAGAAAAAGATTTTAGGTAAAAACAAAGGAAATCTGAATAAAGGATGGACTTCAGTTAATGATAACGTATTAATATTGGTTCACGAATTGTGAAAAATATACCACACTAATGCAAGATGTTAATAACGGGAAACTTTTGTGTGCGTCCTTAAAAGTGAATGAAAAGAAAATAAAACGGGAAACTGAGTGTGGGGTATCCGAGAACTAATTATTCTATCTTTGCAAGAATTCTGTAAATCCAAAACTGTTCTAAAATAGAAAGCATATTTTAAAAATCCAAAGCATGAAAGGGTTGATAAGATTATTTAGTTGCTTAACTCTTTTATATAAAGTAAAATGAAAATGTCTTTTGTGTATACCATTGATTTAAGGATTACTTTTCAAAGGATAATTTTTAATCTCAATTTTAGCAGCTCTTTATTTTAGAAACCACTGGAAAATAGTATTTTTATTTATTTTTCAATTCCACCATATAATGTCACTATCTGTGAAGATTAAATCCTCTTTTTAGTAAGTTGGTGCCAATTTTTTTCTAGGTTTTTTTCCTGCTGCTATTTCTTGCCAAGTCATCGTTTGACCTAAGGGGCAAATCAGATGGTTTTCATTTTCTTTTTCTTGATCCAAGTCCATTTTTCTCCCCAAAGAAAAAGAGTCATTTACGGGAATGCTTGATTTAACTGCCAGGCCAGTAAACAGATACACTGTTTTTTGCTACTTCTGATAACAGATCTGTCATTCTTTGGAAGGCTGACTTCTCTTGCCAAGTCTCTTTGGTTTATGCCAGATTATCTATAGTGGCTTACTGACCTGCTGCAATTTGATGTGCAGAATACTTGGCTTTAATTCTGTACTCCTTTTTAAAGAATTTGTTTTCTTTTTTTGTTTATTACGATATTTGCATACAATAAAATTCATGAATTTTAGTGTGCAGCTGACGATTTTGGTTATTGTAACAACCACTACAATCAAGACATAGAATGGATCCCTTGGCTGAAAAAGTTTCCTTGTGCCCCTCTGTACTCCATCTTCTTCCTCGTCCATGGCCCCAGGCAACCACTGAGATGCTGTCACTAGAATGTTATCATTTTAAAATTTTATTTAAATGAAATCATACAGTACATAAACACTCCTGCTCCTCCTTCAGGTTTGGAGTTAAAGGCCTTTTCCAAGAGGGAGCATTCAAAACACTGTGAAAGAGTATTTTCTCTCAGTCTGTGGTTTGCCTTTTTTTTTTCACTATATGTTTTTTTTTTTTTTTTTTGTACGCGGGCCTCTCACTGTTGTGGCCTCTCCCGTTGCAGAGCACAGGCTCAGGACGTGCAGGCTTAGCGGCCATGGCTCACGGGCCCAGCCGCTCCGTGGCGTGTGGGATCTTCCCGGACGGGGGCACGAACCCATGTCCCCCGCATCGGCAGGAGGGCTCTCAACCACTGCGCCACCAGGGAAGCCCTTCACTATATCTTTTGAAGAGCAAAAGTTAAAAAGTTCTTAATCTAGATGAAGGTCATTTTATCAATTTATCTTTTATCGTTTTGTGCTTTTGGTTTCCTGATAAGAAATCTTTGCCTAACTATATACCACAAAATACTTTTTCCTACTTTAAGTAATAGTTTTAGCTTTTACATTTAAGTGTTCTATTATTTATGAGTTAATTTTTATGTGTGTTGTGTCCCATTTTCTTTCCTTCCGATATTCTTTTTTTTACTTGAAGTACAGTTGACTTACAATATTATATCAGTTTCAGGTATACAACATAGTGATTTATTATTTTTATTGATTATACTCTACATAAAGTTATCACAGAATATTGGCTATATTCCCCTGTGCTGTACATTACATCCTTATAACTTCTTCATTTTATACCTGGTAGTTTGTACCTCTAATCCCCTTCCCCTATATTGCCCTTCCCCAAGCCATCTCCCTTCTGGTAACCACTATTTTGTTCTTTTATCTTGAGTCTGTTTCTGTTTTGTTATATTTGTTCATTTGTTTTATTTTGTAGATTACACACATAAGTGAAAACATATGGTATTTGTCTTTCTCTGACTTATTTTACTAAGCTAATACCCTCCAGGTCTATTCATGTTGTTGCAAATGGCAAAATTTCATTCTTTTTTTCTGGCCAAGTAATATTCCATCACACACACACACACACACACACACACACACACACACCCCCCCACATCTTTTTTATCCATTCATCTGTTGATGACACTTAGGTTGCTTTCATATATGATATTCTAATTATGCAAACATTTGACTTTTTAATAACATCTAACAGGTTCCTTCCGAGGCTCTATTAGTTTGAAATCTTTTAAAAAATCTCTGTTCTTCACTGTGGATAATTTCTATTGATCTATATTCAAGTTCATTTGCTCTTTCTCTGTCATGTCAGTTTGTCTGTTAATTTTATCCAGTGAATTTTTGTTTTAGAAATTATATTTTTTAGATCTAAAATTTATACTTGATTCTTTTTTGTTATTTCTATTTCTCTGCTGAGACTTCCCATTACTCTGTTGAAATTTCTCATGCACTAAAAAGTATGCTTTGTTTAACTTCATATAACACACAGGTAGTTGAAGTAGCCACTTTAGAATCCTTGTAATTTCCAAATTTGGGTAATCTTGAGTCTCACTTTGTTGATTTTTCTTTATTTAAGAATGTATTCCATTTTCTTGAGTCTTTGTATATTGAGTAATTTTCTATTGCATTCTAGATGTTATGAACATTAAGTTGTGGAGATTCTGGATCTGTTATTTTTCTCTGATGAGTACTGTTTCCTTTGTGTTGGCAGGTAATTTTCTTGGCTGGGCTTGAGTTGCAGATTTTCCTTCTTGTGCAGTAGCTTCAGTCTCAGTACATGTGTAGTTCTTGGGTATGAGTTTGGGGATCCCCTCTGTTGCTCTTTCCTTGCAAGACAGGTATGCCCCATAGCAGCTCTATGTACCTTGCAGACTCCACCCTGTCCAAGTGAAAAACTGGAGAGACAGGAACTCACTTGAGGGCTCCCATATCTCCAAGTGAGCATGAACTCCCCATCTGAATCCCTCTACTTCTGTTCACTCTTCAGTACCTGCAGCTAGTTGTTTTTTTGTATTGTGTCTGGGTTTCACAGTTGTCTTTTTCTACAGGAAGGTTGTCTGCAGAGTCTTAGTCCAGTATATCTGGAATCAAAACTCTAATGTCCTTTTTTAATAGTAAAATTTTTTATTTTGTAATTAATGATAATTAACAATCTAGGAAAATTTCCCTAACTTCTGCATCTTCAGACTATGTGTGAATTGAGGAAAGAATTCATTCACTTGAATATTAATTTTGACTTACTATAGAAAACTAATTATCTTTGAAATTAAAGTTTTAAATTTTAGAAGACAGTATAAGTCAATTCTAGAATTGTTTAATAATTGCCAATTTTTGCAAGGCGTGATGCAAGAGGTATAAACAAGTGTTAAAAAGGCCCTTGTCCTCCCATAGTTTATAATCTAACAGGGGGGATAAAATAAATGCATGAAAAACTGTAACACAGTGGCTTTGCTTGGTACTGTAAGAGAATATAGGGTGTAAGGCAATTTCAGAAGGGGAGAGACTAGTTTTCAGTGGAGAAATCAGGAAGAGACTTCATGAAAGAGCTTACATTTGGGTTGCTTCAAAAAGTGGGGACAGGTTGGGAGTATAAAGGAAAGGGGTATTTCAAGAAAGAATAGCATAAATAAAGGCAAAAAAGAGAAGTGCAAAAAATATGTGGGCAACTTTGTACCTGTGGTTGTCAAAATTGAGAGTATGCAAGAATCACCTGATGAAGCTTACCAAAATGTGGATCCTTGGGCCTTGTTAGAAACTCTGATTCAGAAGTCTGAGGGGGCGGTCCAGGAATCTCAAGTTTTAAGAATCACCTCAAAATCTTTTCTTTCAGATGCTCTTGGACCGCCCCCCTTCACAAAACCGACCTAGAGTGGGACTTGTGTGTGGAATAATAGGAAATAATCTAGATGTATTAGTTGGAATTGGGTGGTCAAGAGGCTTGGAAGCCATGCTAACAATTTTGTTTTGGAGCCTTAATAGGGTTTGAAATGTTATATATTTTAGAGATATATTTTGAAATGTTTGCACCTGAAATGATATGATATTTGGAATGTGCTTCAAAATAATACAGTTTGGGCAGGATTCGGAGATGGAGAGAGAGAATGGGTGAGAGTGTGGATGAAACAGAATTGGCCATGTGTTGATGACTGTTGAAGCTGGGTGATGGTTTATTATGTTACTCTATCTATCCTTCTGTATATCTGCCAGTTTCCATAATAAGAAGCAAATAAGAAGAGATTAGGGGAAAATGGAAAAAAAAAAAGAAAGTAAAAAAGAAAAACTTACAGATACAGTGTAGTGCTGTGGTTAGTGCATGGCTTATTTGCCAGACGACTTATTTATTGAAATTTCCTAACTCTCCCTCGAGTTCCTCATGTTTAAAATGGGTATAATGGTATATTATTGATAGGCTTGTTTGGAGGATTAAATGTGATATGTAATGTAAAACACTTAGCATAGTACGTGGCCCACCATGTTCTATAAGAGAGAGCTAATTTTTATTGTTAGTCAACTTCGGCAGGCAGTGGAGAGCTAGTAAAGACATTTGAGCACTAGAGTGACTAATCAAAGCTGTTTACAAAACATTAGAAAAGGGTATTTCTGCTTACTGGGGTCACTACAGAAGAAATTTAAACTTTCAGTAGTAGAGCCAAAGAAAACAGCAAAACAGCCTTCACCCTGAGCTGGGGAGATTCTTGCCAGGAGCTGTTTAGATACTGAGTCAGCCTTAGTGACAGAGGGACAGATTTTCTGCCTAAAGGAAGCCAGAGGCCTGGTGAGGGTATGACACTGATAGGAGCCAATCTAAACAGAGCCTAGCAGATCAGGGTCTACCTAGCTGGGCTAAGGGACCAGGAGGACGATCCAGCACCAGAAAGGGAAGGGGTTTGATGAGACATCAGGACAGGTTCAGAGACTCTTACCAAAATGAGCAGGCTGGTCAGAGAAAGATCTAGAGTAAGTTCTAGTTCTAGATGGATGAGGCTAAGGTGTTGCAGAGGTAGCGAGCCATGATCAATTTGCAGAGGAGTCAAAGGGGGATAGGGGGATAAATAAAGCCAAGATCTTCAGAGGAATAGACAGTTTCCCTGGGAGGCTAGTTGTGTTCGGTGAGGCCGGCAAATCAGTGCCCTGATTCAGGACTTGGGATTCCAGCACAGTCACCTGGAGTGGCCACTCCAGATAGACCTGGATCATCATGATCTGCAGAAGGCTGGACATCTTCTCTGTGGCTGTGGAGGTTAGATTTCATTAGCCTCTGCTACTTGACTTTACCAGAGAATTATATATGTCCCGTCTGGCTTTAGCCATAATGATCTGGTATAATGAAACATGAGTAATAACGAGTTGTAAATATTTGTCTTATTCTTCTCATATCTATACTCTTTGAAAAGACACCTCAAAATATGACTTGTGGAAATACACAGCTGCTTGTATATGATACCTGAACATATCTCCATAGAGTGCGGTTATAAACTATTGCCTATTTATTATGAAGGACCTGCATCACCTCTGTCTCCCATCCTGGCTAGTACTGTTAAGAGAAATATTTTAGGCTTCAGGTAAATGATGATGATGGAAACCTAATATATGTGTCCTAGTCTGAATTTCCTTGACTCTTTGATTAGGTGACTAACGAAACTTAAGAGAATGAAGGCTCTCATTCTCAACAATTTAATACTTTGTACTCACTCAAAACAGCAAAACAGACACCAAAAACTTACTTGTGTGGCAATATGTTTTTAGTGAACGTTTTTGAGACAGTAAAATTATTCAGGTAATTTACCCAGTCTTCATTTTACTACTATACACCTGTGCTTAGTCTTAAAAAGTAATATTAAATCACAAAGGAATTGCTAAATAATTTATAAAACAAGCTTATAATAGAAAACTTTTCAGCAATTAAAAATAGTGACATAGATATATCTATTGACGTGTGAAGGATATACATTAAGTGATAAAATAAGGTTTCAAAAGAGTAAGTATAGTTGAGCTTATTTTGCAATAAAACATGTCAAGCGTGTGTACTGGTGCATGTGCATATAGTGCTTGTACATAACGAAACATCTAGAAGGATATACTCCATAATGTTAACAGTGGTTATATTTTGTGATGTGATTTCTCGTAATTTCTATTTTCTTCTTGACACTTTGTGTACTATATGAAGTTTGTAAGATAATTAAGCATTGTGTGTGTGTGTGTGTGTGTGTGAGAGATAAGAAAAAGTAAGCCCTTGTGTTGAGAAATATGCCTATATCGCTTAAATTGTATTGAAATATTATAAGTGGTTGAAGACTCCTAGTCTTTTCCCAGAGTTAGTTGCTGACAAGGCACACATATGGTGAGAGAAAAATCACTGTTTAAGGAAAACAGTGCATAAAAGATGAAAATTCTGTAGGATGAGTACCACATGGTTCCCTTGAAAATTTGGGCCATGTTATATTGGAGTGCTCGTGAGTATTCAGTGTAATTCCAAGAGCTGGATGACACCTATTGAGGTAATCTAATCCAATGCTTCACTTTATAGATGAGGAAACTAGAGACAATAAATGATTTTCCCAAGGTCACACAGCTCACTAGTGGCAGAACCAGGACTGGGACCCAGCTTGGAAAACCCTTTCCACTGTCCCATTATGCCTTTGCAGGTGACATTCTCTGATTTCTAGATATGTACTCTTTAAACCACATTCTAAATGTTGTTTCCTCTTATTACTTTGATCTTCAAATTAAGAAAGCTTATATACTTAATTTTTGAACCCATAGGTATTTGTATTGTGATAAGAATCTAGCAGAAGGGTTGCTTTATGATGTATGACCCATAACTTAGAAAATTTTCATTGAAATACATTTAGTTCCCAGTAGAAGAAAGCTTATAAGTTTCTTAACTTTCTGTGCAGGGCAATTCATTAACATTGGCGTGACTTTCTATGCTAAAACGAACTCTTCTCTTTTTTTCAACAGCTGGCCACATTCCGCACCCTCTTGTGTACAGGGGAGGGCAAAGCAGCGGCTTTTTTGTTGAGCAATCACCGTCCACCACAGCCTCTGAAGGGCCGAAAAGTGAGAGCCTCTTTCCATTAAAAGTTGTCACCAACAGACCACCCCAAACGTGTCTGTGGAGAGAAAACAAAACAAAACAAACACAAAAACCCCTACTAACAGTTCTTTCCTAGAATTCTAATTTATGGGGTGCCATTTTGCTGTCAGTTTCAGCACAAAGAAAATCAGATCTTTTTAATCAAACTAACTTAAGTCATCTGTCTCAGATTTGCAGTTTATAAGCAGTATATACTTGGGTATATAAGCAGTAAACACTGGTGTGTTTTAAAACACACGGAATACATCTACTTCAACCTGCGTGACAACGTGGTGGGCGTTGCAAACCTCAGAATGTATTAAAAATCTTCCCTTGCCGTAAAGGCTGATCAGTCACATCTCTCAGTGATGTTTGGTGAAAAACTTAAATGCATTCCCAGAATGATAGGATTGTGGTACCTTTTCCTAAACAAGGGATTCCGCTTAATATCTTGTTATCATTCCAATTCATAAAAGTAGATACTATTTCCTTTTAAAGTGAATTTTCATTTGGATCGTGTTGCTGATTCTCACTGCAGGATACCTCTAATAAAATGATCAAGAGGAGAGTTATCGGGGTGGGGGTGGGATATAGCGAATTAAAGCATCTATTCCACAGCTCAAAAAGAGTCAATACAATTTTGGTGAGGACTTCCCCAGGATATAAATGGCTATTTAAACTTTAATGACTTATGCCATACATCTCATTCACTTGGTGGTGTTAATGATAAACTGGCTAATAACTGATCAGACAAAGTGGCTGTCAATTTATAGCATTAGCATGGTTTGAAACAGATTACAAGGTACCAGTGCAGGCAGAGCTGCCCGTGGGCATGGGGCACAGGTTGGCTAATTTTGTCCCGTGTTTTGGCAACAGAGCAGGGAGCAGTCCTGTGAAGGTCATTGTTTTGTCAATTGATGGGGAAACATTACTTTTCATAGATATAATCAGTCACAAACCCTTCAACCCATTTCCATGGCAACACCCCTCTCCCCTTACACACATGTCCCTCCATCCCTTAATTTTGTAAGTTGGCTCTTGATATTCACTTTAACCTATTATCTCTTGTATATTTTTGTTTGATTTTGGTGAAGGAGAATGGGGGAGGTCCTTCTGCTCTTTCTGGTACAAATACAGTGACACTAAGCATTAACTTAATAATCACGTTTAAGACTTGAACACTTGCTACACTTCTGTCATCTTCTGGGAAAAGTTTAACTGAGTTCCCTTAATTTTGATGATTTATTAAGACACCTCTCTTCCCCTGAATGTAGATTTTAATAATTGGAAGTATTCTGTGATAGTCTTCTTCTTTTTTTTTTTTTTTGACTGCACCACATGGCTTGTGCGATCTTAGTTCCCCGACCAGGGATCGAACACAGCCCATAGCAGTGAAAGCACCGAGTCTGAACCACTGGACCACCATGGAATTCCCTGTGATAGTTCTTGATAGGATCACTGATTATCAGTAAATTGTGTAATAATGATAGATATGATTGCATTAAGATGTGTTCCTGAAGATGAAAGCTCCTTTGTTTTTTGTTTCCCCTTCACAGTATCTAGCTTGAGGCCTTGCAGGAGATTGACAAGTAGCAAATATTTAATTAATTGAATATTTAATAAACTTTATTTTGTATCTTTGGTAATTATCTTGCTGCTTGCAATCAAATGCACTGTAAGTTCATGTAACAAGTAAAGTGCAAGTTATCCCTTGAAAATTGTTTTTTCTTAAAGAAATACTTGTTAAATCTACCTGTGTAACCAGAAGTTCTCACTGGTTTTAAAAATACCAGTGTTGAATGAATTTCTTTAGTTTGGAAAGACATGTTGTGAAGTATCCTAGTCAGAGAAAGAAGTCCGTTTTCTCAGAGAAAGTAAATAGCATGTAGGATGGGGATTCTAATTACTGTGTATGAGCATTACCACTTCATAATTTAAGCTTTCTGCTACAGTATTCCATCAGTTCTATGCTACAAATTGGACTTTAGTAGACAAAAAACATCTACACAGCACTGATTTCCTTGAAGATTGTCTGATAATTTATCTCTTAGAGGCAAAAAGGTCTAAGTGTTATCTAAAGTCTAAGTTGTTATCTTTTGAAAAGATTAAAGAGTTGTAAATACTAGCATGGATAATATTGTTTCCCACCTGTATTGGATTTGTATTTGTTAAGCATTTTGTATTTTAACTTAAATTGGATTCAACCACAATAAAGATTACAAGACAAACTTTGAACTTGTATATGCAAGATACAGAATGAGATTACATTTTTACACTTTTTGTTTAGAAAACAATTTCAAACTCACAGAGAAATTGCAAACACAATTTTTTCCGCTGAATTATTTGAGAGTAAGTTGCCAACCTGTTAATGCATCATCCCACAAACTTCAGTGTATATTTTCACAAGTTAGGACATTATCCTACAGAGCCATAGTACAGCTAAAACAACCATGAGGTTAACCTTGCTTTATTATCACTGACTATGCCATTCGAGGGTAACTCGTTCACTTAGCTGTGTTTCCTTTGGTCGGGCACTGGTCCTCAGTCTTTCTTTGCTGTTTATGATTTTGACACTTTTGAAGATGATAGGCTAGTTATTTTACAGAATGCCCCTCAATTTGGGTTTGTTCGAGATTTCCTTGTGATTAGATCCAGATTCTGCATTGTTGGCAGGAAGATCACAAAAGCAATGCTGGGTCCTATCAGGCAAATTGATTTGTCCTCTAATGGAGTATATTCACTTCAGCACTTGATTAAGATGGTGTCTGCTAGGCTTCTCCACTGCAAAGTTACTCTTTTTTTCCTTTGTGATTAACAAATATTTGTGTGGGGATGTGCTTTGAGACTATGTAAATATCCTGTTTCTGATTAAACCTCCAATTTATTCATGTTTCCACTATGGATTTAAGGGATCCCTGTTTTATTCAGTGGGCTGTAAGACTGTTATCACTATTACCATCTATTCTCACATGCATATTTTTCTTAATTGGCCAGGAGGAGCATCTCCAAGCTGGCTTCTGTGCCCTTTTGACATTTCGTCCCCATGTTCTTACTTTCTGACAGCAGTGTGATCCTGTCTCAGCTCATTCTGCACCTTCCCCTGCCCTGGAATCTAACATTTCTCCAAGGAGCCCTGGTTTCTTTTAGTGGAAAATAGTATTGAAAAAACTAACATCTGGGTGCTAGATGGGTGCATGGCTATTGGAGCACTGCTACTCCTAGATCCTCTCAGTGAACAGAGGTCAGGAATGCACACACAAACACACACACACAATGTGTACTCACATGTACAACATCTATATTTCTGCATCTATATTTTAAAAAATCACAATTTCACACTCATATCTCTAATTTCAACCCAATACTACAGGGTTCATTCTAGTTCTCCATTTCCATATTTCTAATCCCCTTCTCCAACAGTGAGAAACCTGGCTCTCATTATCCTCAATACATTTACTTCTTTGGCCACTTCTTCTGTGTGTAACCAGTATCCCATCACCACTTCCAGCCTCTCACCCCCACAGGCATGGATGCCTTTTTCTCTCAGCTTGGATTGTGATGTCCTGCACTGGGCTGCCTTGTCCCCTGAGAGGAGGTGGGGCAAGGAGGGGAAAGCGAAAAGCAAGGTTACATTTTGAAATACTCGCTGGACTGTTCACAGGGAGGTTCCTTATTTCTAACACAAGGTTATTGAAAATGTGGCTTTGCCTATACATATTTTATCATAGGTGGCAGTGAAATGCAATATTTTGTAAAAGGTTTTTAATACCTCTGAGTGGAGCTGCAGAAAATGTAGACCAAGGAATCGTGGTCTCATTTCAGAGGCTAGAAAGCCATCCAGGCACTTGGATAAGTATCACAAGTTGTTCTTATTTTAGATTTACTGAAGAAGATTAAATCCCTTATGTTGAGGTTTTTAATACCCACTGAAATGTAAACTCCCCTCAGAGGATAATTTTTACACTTTAGTATAACTGATTTTTACATGACAGGTTTTGGTGGGAATAAAGACTGACAGCAGAATGTCAACATGATATAAAAGAGTGGTCTGAGTGTTTGGATAACCGAGATGAACTTGAACTACTTCACAATTTTGCTTACGTGCCTCATTCTTCCCTGCACCCTTACACTTTGCACCATGATTGATGTATAACGAATACTCATTGTCGGTAAATGGAATGCATTCTTTATTGAAGTAATTGGAGATTTCTCTGATGTGGCTAGGAACTCACCTTTACCTTCCTAGAGAGGAATTATAACAAGCAGAGTTCCCCCCAACTCCTGTCATGGGCTGAGAGGAGTCTTCTTGCCCGACCTGTCCTTGCTTAACCACTCCCACCTCCATAGGTCACCCAGTGGAAGAAAGTGGGTACATTAAAGTTTCTTGTTTCAAATGAGTGTGTTTTCATTACAAGCGCCTTTGGGTGGAGAGAGGGCCAGTTTGTCTTAGCTGTTTCCATGGAGTGAGAGTTGCAGAAACTCTGGGTTTGTGACTCAATGAGATCAGATGAATCATAAGTCAACCCCAAGTTCCTTATGGAAGGTATGATCTAGAAAAAAGGACTTGTATGTTAACAGGGACTTCTGAGAATAACTGTCCTTATGGAGGTAATTCTTGATCTGTTATCGGCTTATACTGGAGGGTGTGGGAGGGCCCCATACACAAACACATAATTCAGTGGTGCTGGCATTTAAAAAACATGACAGTATCAGTCAGGTTCCATTAGGAAAACAGAACCACCCAGTATTTCAAACAGAGGGTATTAAATGTTTGGAATTGATTATACAAGTAATGGAAGATGTTGAAAAACCAAAGTGGACAGGTAACCAAGAGATTAGCAAGAGCAGGAAGCTTTCAGTTTCCTCAGGAGGAGGAAATGTTCCTGGAGCCCAGGAGCCATGGCCATCAAGCTGAAAGGTGAAGTTTAAACTAATGTCCTGACTAGGAGGATCTGGTTATTTTTTGGAGAGACACAGCCACTACCTGAGTCCTTGCTTGAAGTAGAGAGAGGAGGAGAAATATTGTGGCTTCTCCCTTTATTCCATCCTCTAAACTCTTACTGATACTCACTGGTAGAACCTATCCAGAAGTCAGATAGCATGGAACCATGAAAGGTCATCCTCCTGTTATACAGAGCAGACCAGTGGAAAGGTCCGGGAACAGATCTGAGAAAAAATGGGCTTAAAACCATCCAAGGCACCAACATCTGGGAACCTCTATTATGCAGGTCAAGCAAGTGACTATGATGCCAGGCTGGAATTCTCCAGAGCTGAAAGACCATTTCCAAACTTTTGTCCTACTCTGGAAATTTAATTTGATCACAATTTTTCAGGCACCTTCTATGTGGTAAATGTCGTGCTAAGTACTAGAGATATAAAGATGATTAAGATGTGATTCCTTCTTTTAAACAGCTCAAAATCTAAGACAACTATAAAAATGAATTGCATCATACAAAATGTTAAGTATTTTAATTTTAGGTATCTGTAGAGTGCTAAGGGAACATGGTGAAGATGGAGCAATTAATACTGGAGAAATTAAGAAAGACATAAAGATTTGCAAGTGTGGTATATTTGGAAATTGTGCTCTCTGGTTTTCTATGTAGTTCTGTACCTGGTGCTTGGGTAGGGAGATGTGTCAATGAGGACTCCTCTGAGAGCAATTGAAGCTTCAATACAAAATGGCTAAAGCAAATAATGGAATTTATTGATTCACATAATTGAAAGGTCCAGGGGTACAGCTTGCTTTCTTTCATCATGCTGAAACCAGGGATTAAGATCAGGCCTCAATCTCCTTTCCTTTTGGACACCTCCACCTCTGTGGGTGCCATCAATAGTCAGACTCGCCTTTCATATCGGAAGGAAGGAAGCCTCCACCTATATACTTAAACATCTCCTGCAAGCCACACCAGTGACAAAAGGAGAGCTTCTTTCTCCAAAGACTTAAAATTTTTTCTATCTACTTTGAATTCTCATTTGCCCACATTGAGTCACATGCCCATCCTTAATCAAGTCATCTTGGCCAGTGTATTTCTATCTGGCTCGGGAAAGCATGTGGAGTTAGCCCTTTCCCAAATTGTACAGACTAAGAGTGTTCATGTTTGTGTGTGTGTGTGTGTATGTGTGTGTGTATATGTTTGCGTTGGGGGTGGGTGACTGCAGTAAAGGAAAACTGGGGTTAGTACCTGAAGAATGGAAAAAAGATTATGGGTGGCAAAAACAAAAGATTGTCTACTCTGAAATAAAAGAGTGGCTGAAGTAGGGCCTGAAAAGAATAAAACTCAGGAGATAGTTCAGTTTTTCTAGGAAATAACCATCATCCATCTAAAGAG